TTAAAAAATTCACAACTGAAAATAAATTTATTTACTTTAATTAAAATTTAAAAATTTAATAAAAATTTAATAAAATTTTAAAATAAATTTAATAACGTAACGTGAGATTTTACATAATTTTTCGCGTACGATTCACAATTGTTTGTCTCTCTTTCCTCAGAGAGGACAAGTTTCTCCAGCACTGATCAACTGCCACGTCGCTCCAGAGCTCTACCCATCTTGGGGCTTGGTGGGGCCCATCAAAGCCCAACTGTATAAAAAAAATTAAAATGGATTTGGATTTCTGACTGACTTCTGATTTGTTACCTCAAATTAGACGAAACTTGGACAGGGCGACGACATTGGTACTGTTTTTCAAAAATATATTAGTGGTTTGTAGGTGTGAAATTTGGAAATGGACATGTCATTTATTTTATTGAAAGTAAGACATGAGAAACTTTCTTATAGTCGACTCCTTTATGAAGGGTGGGAAGAACGTATGATTAAAATTAAAATTTGTGTTTATCAATGATTTGTAAGAAGGAAGGATACTTTTTTATAGAATGGGTTATAAAATTTATCTTGGACAATTATAAGAACTTAAACATTATTGTGAATTAAAGTTAATAAATCTTAATTAAACTAAATAGTATGCAATTTAAAGTAAATTTATGAGAATAAGATGTACCGAAAATAAATTAAATATATTTGTTGTTAAATTAAATTACTATCTATTAATAAATTTAGAAATTAAACTATTGTAGAATTGGAGATTTAATCCTAATTAACACTAAAATAAAACATGAATAGTGAATAAATTAACATGCTTAAAATTAAGAAAAAGCGTGAACGTCTTGTAAGTAATCATTAAAGAAATACTACTTATCATAAATATTAAATTAATTGCAGATAGAAAAAGAACAGTATCTTGAATAAATTTGAAAGATTGAAGTTCATTGCATGAAACGAAATTGTCGAAACGAATACATGAATTAGTTTATCTACTAAAATGATGAAAAATAACCTAGATTTACTGAAAATTATGCTGAAATCTGAAATCTGGAAGCAATTGCAGAGAAAATGAAAGTCTGAAAATTTGCAGATGTTTGAGTAGGGCTGACAATGTCTTCCCCCTTCCAAAATTTCTCGACTGGCAGAAACTCCCCACTTTCTACAGTTACAAAATTGTTGGTGGTTTCTTGAGGTAGTGAGACTGCTCAACAATTGACCTGGTCAGATTTCCTTTCAGATTTTCGCCACTTGTACTCTTATCAAATAACTCCTTTCTACAACTGTAATATCCTTCTAAATTTTAGCTAAAACAATCCTTTTTTGACTCAAAAAGGTAATTATACAGTAAAATCTTATCTTTATCTTCTTTTTTTACCACTGTGACAGTTGATCTATCATGGAGCCCATAACAACAAATTTGACATGATTTAATCTCCTCCATCCATTCAAAAATTTTTACAGGTGATATTATCTTAAAATTTTACAATTTATGATGTAAGCAAGCACATTTTTTTAATAGCAGGAGGATGATATGTGTAGTTCATTAATAATAATTTTTTTTAATTTGTACTTTAAGAATATATATTAAGAGTATATTAAATATATTTTTTATTATAAATATATATAGTAAAAATAAAAATTAATATTAATTTTAATTTTAGATAAATTTAATTAAATAATTAATAAATAATAAATTTAATTTTAGATTAAT